TCATCACAGTCTCGCCACCAATATTAAAACCCATTTTTAACAATGAGAAATATCATAGAAACATCACAACAAATTAAACACTAATCCAGCACTCAGTACATGACTTAAACAACAAGAAAGAGGACCTTACTCTAATACAATCTCTCGCAAACAAAGCCAAAAACGGAATAACAATATTAGACAAACTTTGAAACGCCAATCGACGCTTACCTTTCACCTCTGCACAAACACTCAAGAAAAAAAAAACGACACCACACAACAACCCAAGCTTCATTATACACCCCCTTAAACAAATCAAAACAATACCTATTGCCTCGGCGTGGATTATTTAACACCTTCCCTTCATCACCCATAACTTCCTGGTCGAATCCAAGCTGGATGATTAGTCGAATTTTACTTTGCAGTGGTGGGGAGGCTGCTGCAAATTACTTCAAAGGGATCGCTCACGGCTCATTTCGACTAATGTATTCGCCAAGTTCTTATTATAGGACAACACCACCATTTTGCCCATCATGTGACAAGGTGCTCTTGCTTACTCAAGGAGTGTATTTTTAACATCAATAACGTGTAGGTCGCCAAAATAGAAGGTGCCACAAAGCAGTTCAGACAGATGTTTAAGTGGGAGAAGAGAGCCCTATGGCAACATCTGATATGAAGCTTATCAGATTGCAGCAAATACTCAATTTCATCCCTCATAGAGGTGGGTTAATTTTGAGGAAGAAGAATAGGAAGAAACCAACGCAATCCATGAAATAGCTAAAATTCCTGCTGAACTCCTGTGGGAAGAAAGAGGTGGGAATAGGACAAGAGGAATCAGAATGTAAAGAGCTATTCAGCGGTTTTCCATGTTTATTGCTACTGCCCATCTCGTCTCGTCCCTAAAGTTTGTTTGGCCATAGTTGGAGGCTTCACAGACACATGGCATGAACTATGTGGCAGTTTTTTTTCAAGGAAAGACAAAAACCAGGACGAAAAACCTACTTTCTTTTGATCGAGCTACTGCGATGGTGATGGAGACCATGGACACAAGAAAAGAGGTAAGTCGACAGACACGCACACATGTAGACCATGCAGTACCAGCAGCAGTACAAAAAATATACGACGGTATGGCTAGATATAGTAAGACAAAGTCGTAGATTTGGCAGGGCTAGTTCTGAATTCCTTTTGGCATTCCAGCCACTCATTTAGTGTGGAATGTCAACGTTTGGCAGATTTCATCAATCTGGCTTTGACATTTGCATGGCCTAGCTCAAATCGTCAACCCGGAAAAGTGACATTGTTGTCATCGGCACTGCCTTAATATCAGGATAATGTATCGCGTCCCAACACATGTATGCGATTGCGAAATAAAATGCGTTAGTGCCAGTTTGTTGGACTCTTTGGCAACAATTAATTTGTCTGCATTAGTGACTTTAAAAAGTTTGTGAAAAATATGAAACAGTGGATCCGCCTAATGGAACCTGAAATTGAAGCTGAAAGAGGGGAAACGTTTGGTCTTAATAGCAGCAGGATGAGTTTACACGAGCATTAGCAGCAAACCTCACTCAAGGCAGCCAATCGATGAGAGGTGGTCGGTTGATCGATGAGGACCAATGACATGCATGAATGGAGATCTGTTGACCGACTTTCGCTCATCCGTGTCCACATTTGGCCATCTGCATCTTTATATAAGCCGACACTTCTGTGTGTATATTTGGATTTTAAAAGTGCTGAATTCCTGATAACATCAAGGCCACTGCGTGGTGTGCTGGTCCGTGTGACGACCAGGCCAAAACGAGTGTGATATAGTCGACCTACGAAACTGCGGAAGGGTACTGAGGTTAAGCAGCGATTGTGTTGACTGTAGGAACCACCCGTTATTGCCTTCATTTATTCGTTTTCTGCGGCTTTTGACAGCGTGAGGATGCATTAGACTGGCGTCTATTTCTCCTACATGCTCGTTAGCCTAGGATCTTCTTTAGTTGGTCATTTCTCGCTGTTTTGTCTAAGTGAATACACGTCATTTGATTCTCACGGTCTGGATCTGGTAATTTTGTCTCAACTTTTATCGTCTCTTTCTTAATAATCTCGTTTTACTATTTTTTTCAAGACGAACACTTTGATTTTCCATGCTGTGGGAACTCCAACTCAACCTCCCCATCCCCTACGTTATACCACGACTATGTAGAACCAATGACAGAAGAAACTCGGTTACGCCCTTCTTCTTCCCGAAGTCACAGCAAAAACATCCAATTACAGCTGCTTAGTTTTCTGTCGATGCAGTCATATGGCTACCTCGGTAGAGGAACTGAAGGCTCTGTGTGAGTGCCGTTTCTCACTTTCTTTGTAACCCATCCAACTATTTTTCGTATATACTAGGTTTTCATGGCTGTATTCATTTTTATTCTGTTTCTTTTCTTTTGTCATGTTTAGCGAACAACACCGAAACTGCACTCTTGGGACGTGGTAGGCACGAAATTGTAGACGAGATGGTGAGTGGAGAGAGAATCCGCCACCTCGGTTCGACTATACCCCATTTCCTCACGGGACAGTTTATTTTTATTTGATTTTCGTCTTCGTTTTAGGGTTCCATACAAATATATGCGCATGTGTATGTTTGTTTACTTCTTGATATTTAAATGTACTTAACGTCTTTGACTTTCTAGAGACTGGCAGGTTCTTGTGAGAGATGGTAGGGGAAGTTGATATCTTACAAGTTTGAAATGGAATTCGCAGTTAGATTTGTGTAGGCTGCTGGCACCCGATTGGATTCTTTGGGTCGGTCCACTACTACCATTGCCTACCCTTTCAACTGTTTCGGATCCTAACCCTCACCTCAAGTCGGCTGCATGCGGCCCCAAGTCAGTCTACATGTTTATCACACGGAAGTGTAATGATCCTAAAGATCAATGTCAGCATTGTTTGTGAAAGTGATTTCCGTGATGTAGCTTGAATTGTAGGGTAAAATAATCAGATTATTTCTAATAGATTTATAGCATTTTAAAAAATTTTAATGCATGCGGATGCAAAGTTGTTACGTATGCTGCAAATAACATCACATTTCCAAGGCGGGTGAGGGATTTCAAATTTTGATCATTTACGAGCAGATCAATTGGCACTTTCCATATTTTGCTTTATGCACAGACCAATGAAGTAATCAAGAGCATTGTCAGAGAAGTCTTACTGATGACATACACAAACCTCCGAAATATATGACTTTACTCTAACTTCGTATGCCAACTTTCGTTTATTCGCCTAAACTAAGATAGTGTAATCTGAAAAAAGACAACATATCAAAAAGTGGGTCTGTTTTAAAACTGGAAAGTCAAATGAAGTATCGACGGTTGTACAATATTAACTACTCCTTTATGAAATCACCACAACTTACCAAAGTCTTGTTTTATTTACCCGCACGACAAGCATTTGCAAGGCCACAGTACCTGGCAGCTGTGCTGGAAATGTAATTCAGTCGACTTCCTGATGCGCCAGCCATTTGGATGCTCAGGCTGTCGGACCTAGGGACATTGCAAGATAAAGGTAAAGTAAAACAGACCCGTTAAAAGCATCTCAGTTTTTCGCATATTTCGTCAGTAGTGAGAGGAGGCGTCTTGCATTTTCTTGAAGTACTCGTGCTATATGGGTAGGAGGAACTCTGGCTCTTTTTTGCCAGGAATCCGATTAAGTAAGATCTGTTGTGCAATAATTTAAGTTTTGAGTATGGTAAAAGGCATTAATGGGGGAGAAGTTGATATGTGGAAGGTTTGCAGTGACAGCTGCTCATGTACCTCCCAGTATAATGACAAGGTAGACGTACGGGAGTCAGTCAGAGAAGAGGTACAAATTGTCATAGGTGGTGGTGAAAGAGCGAGTAGGAAAAATGTAACAGCTTGTGCACTGCATGCATTGGAACCACGGCACTTGTTTAAGATGTGAATGGTGACGACAAAAAGTGCGAGATGGTGCAGTGTTGATTACAGGTATAGGAAATAAAGGTAGGTGATATTAAATCTAGCAACACATTTGCTAAGATGAACGATTCAGTCGCTGGAGTGGGATGTCTGGTCAATGGCCCCCAAACAGATGTCTTTCTCTTCTTAGTGATGGCACTTACGGAAGTAATTTACTCCTTCCACGACTATTTTTGCTATCTTCTATGCTTCTACCCATCATTGTACATGCTCTAGCTCCAGTTTTTAATTTAGTTGCAGTTCATTTTTTGTGCATAGTTTTCTCCTCATTTCAGTGGTTTCGCAGGAAGAAAGGGATGATGCGATGGAATAGTGGCATTACTGGAAGCATTCAGGCTCCACTCCTTTCCCTCTCACCCAATCATTCAAACGGTTGTGCTGGTGAATCAAGCTTCTACATGATGCTGCCTATATGGGCACCAAAAGGAGTGGCTTATTTTAGAGAGATGTGAGTAATTCATACAATTATGCTATAGGGTATGAGGGATAGGGTGAGGGATAGGTTGCTAACTATGAAAACGGTAATGGAGTCACTGAAGTCCTCATCTACGGTGCTTTTGAATCCCTGGATAGAGCTCTGGGTCAGGCAAAGTTAACAGAAGCGTTACTCTGAGAAGATGAAACTTTCGGGGAAAAAGATAAACAAGTTGGAAGAAGGGACAGAAAAGGGAAATGCGAGGAGTGAACTAAACTCTGTCTGGGCTAGCTGCGCTACTGCTGCTCACCCACCTGCAGCACTTCTGTGGTCGGCCAAGCTTCTACCACCACTTCTATTAACCACGAAATATGATTAGTGGAAGTGACCTGCCACTGTGTTTACTGCGACCTCGACCGAGACCTTCGGGTTGCCTTACATGAAATACCCGATGATGCCTTAATGAAACCTCATTATCAAATCGGCATTTGGTCAGTGGTTGTTCAGAATTTCATGATGATAGACCTGTCATATATTTAAAAGTCAATCCTACGGAACGTGGATATCAACAGTAAAGTTTCACTTTTCTATAGGGGCGCACTACTCATCATTCAGCAGAACTGGAGAGGATGTTTCCTTATGCAATAAAGGTACCAAGGAATTGAGAACATATTAGACAGTACTACAATCAAACATTCAGGGGTAGGTAAGACAGTGGTGATAGTCATAAGTGTCATCTCCAGAGTCTTTGAGTCTACAACGAAGTATTCACCACCACGGATAGAGGAGGACATCAATCCAGAAAACACTACCACTAACCCTTTAATGTAAAGAGACTATTTTGACACAAATCTCCACTCGTTTTATACATCCCTATTATTGCTTTAATCAGTCAACCACCACTGGACTAAACTTATTAATCACAGGAAAGATTACTGATGAAATGAAGCTATGTTCTTTGCCTAGGTTCCTGCATGCGAGTACGAAATGGTGCCTACTATATTCATAAGTCGGTTTGTATGTATGTAGGTAGGTAGGTAGGCGGATAGGTGGATTAATAGGTGGGTAGGTAGGTAAGAAGTGGGCTTAACCATCGTTTGACAGATAGATTATTCAACACTATCCCTGCATCACCCATAAATTCCTGGCCTAATCCAAGCTAGATGAGTAGTCGAATTTTATATAGCAGTGGTGAGGAGGCTGCTGCAAATTGCTTAAAAGGGCTCGCTCATGGCTCACTTCGACTAGTGTATTCGCCAAATTCTTATTATAGTGCAACAGCGCCACTTTGTCGACCATGTTACAAGGTGCTCCTGCTTACTCAAGGAGTGTATATTTAACATCAAATGCATGTAGGTCGCCTAAATACAAGGTTTCGCATTGCAGTTCAGACAGATGTTTAATTGGATGAAGAGAGCTCCATGAAAACATCTAATATGAAGTCTATCAGATCTTCTACATCCACATCTTCGTATCCAATAGGCGGTATACCTTTGCGAGGCCACATTTTAGTATGACGCACAGTGATTATTTGAGGATGGAGTTGTGCATTGTAGCCGGAACATTTCAGCACTCGGAGTGCTTATTTGCCCTATAGATGCTGGAACTTGTGGTATACTCCAGGGAGCTGAATCAGCCTCTAGAGCAGTACTAGGTCCACTTTCTGGTAGACATTTGTCACACTGTTTGTCAAGGAGGGGTTGAAAGTTTTTCTAATCCTTCCTTGCATCAAAGTGCATACTCTAAGACATTGTGGAATGCTACTTCTGTGTTTGATAGGAAAATATCGGTTAGCAGTCTTATTTCATAATATGTAAGCATCCCACAGAGTGGAATGCTAGCTGATGCACAGGCGGTGGCTCCGTGCTTAAATAGGTTCGGCGAAATCTTAAATCCTAATTAGTTCTCAAAACGTGAGGTATTTACACATGAAATGGCCCCACTTTAATCATTACAATCCCCTATTTTACCCAAGACGGTGATCTCCTCCAATACGGAAATCACGAAGATTGGAACACTAATATCACC